GGACGGATGAGAGTCTGCAATGAACCCCTGCACGGCATAGGCCTCATGTCTCACCAGACCCATGAGGCAGCTGTCAAGCTGCACTTGAAGTCCCAAGTTCTGCACGATCTGGGAGATGATCCCCCCACCTGCTCCCTCAGGCGGTTGTGGACTCAGGCTGGCGCGGGGAATTGCTCTTTGCAGGAAAGGAAAGCAAGCCTTAGACCTTACCCAGGTTTTCCAGGGTCGTTGCCATTCCCTCATAGAAAAGAATTTCAGGAGTCGAACAGTGAAATAAAGCAGTTTTGTTTAGAGTACACATCTCAGGTGGAGATGTGGGCCATCCCCCAGAATGGGGAGGCATGCACTTGCTTTAGTGGAGTTGGCTTTAACGGTTTCCTCTCAAGCTGCCTCCACGCAGGGCTTTCTTTTTTTTTTTTTTTTTATGTAGGAGTACTGCTATTTATTCAGCCACCGATTAGCTGATTGAATTGGGCATGAACTCCACCTTACCTTTTTTTTCATAATTTTATTTATTTTTCTTCTTATATTTATTTATTGAATCACTGTGGGAAAAGTTACTAAGCTTTCAGGTTTAAGTCTCGGTTGTACAATGATCAAACACCTCTCCCTTCACCAGTACTCATTTTTCACCACCAAGAACCCCAATATACCCCCCCTCCCACCCCTCCCAATGCCTGTGAGGCAGATGATTCCCACTTAACTCTTCTCTACATTGATTACATTCATTGTTTTGACAAGAGATGCACCATTATTGTTTAGAATTCCCCCCCCCAACAATCAGAATTGCTGAAAAGGAATTGTGAACTACTTTGTTTTCTATAGCTGGTTATGAGAATCATACAGTCTAGCTTGGCCGCAATAGCTGCCTCACAATTTTGGATTTCTGCAAAGAGCCCGATAATTACGAGATTGGTTTCTGTGCGACTGGCGTTATGGCTGTGCCGGAGAGCTGCTCATGGGGGGCAACTCGTGACCTCGGTAGGGTGCAAAGGACGAGCCAGTACCACCCCCCTTCCCATGAGACTGCAGTTGCCCCGTCACCACCGGCTCATACCTTGCTTTCCAATAAGCTCTGAGGTGGTTTCCACCTTGCTGCTGGGGGGCAGGGTGGGGGGAGCAGAGGCAGAAGGGAGCAACACCCTTTCCCTCTCAGGGAGGCATGGCTCCGTAGTTTAACGCATGGTCCATTCACTTTTCTGCCACAAGCTGCTGGGCTCTGGATTAAATCCTTTTGCCTCTGGAGCCATGGCTGTGCTGGAGAGCCGCTCATGTGAGGCAACTCGTGACCTTGGTAGGGCGTGAAGGACGAGCCAGTACTGTCCCCCTTCTCATGAGACTGCAGTTGCCCTGTCACCACCGACTCATACCTAGCTTTCCAGTAAGCTCTGAGGCAGCGGCCACCTTGCTGTGTGTGGGGGTGGGGGGAAGATGGAAGGGAGCAACACCCTTTCCCTCCCGGGGAGGCATGGCACCATAGTTTAATGCATGGTCCATTCACTTTTCTGCCACAAGTTGTCGGGCTCTGGATTAAGTCCTTTTGCCTCTGGAGCCATGGCCGTGCCGGAGAGCTGCTCGTGGGGGGCAACTCGTGACCTCAGTAGGGTGTGAAGGACGAGCCGGTACTGCCCCCCTTCCCATGAGACTGCAGTTGCCCCGTCACCACTGGCTCATACTTGGCTTTCCAAGAAGCTCTGAGGCGGCGGCCACCTTGTATGCGGTCCAGATGCATTTCTGCCAAAAGCCTTTGGGTTCCGAGATTTGTTTCTGAGTCTCTGGGATCATGGCCGTTAAGCAGTTCAATCAGGAACCAGAGAGGCCAAGCCTCCAATTATGTAGCTGAGCTGGAGTGGTTTGTGGGTGTGTCTCCCACATACCTAACTTTTGGCCGTTTACTTTCTTGGTAAACTTTGCCCCAAGTTTTTGGGGTCTGGCCAAAGGCACAGCAGCAATTTTGGGGTGTCCGAAAGCCTGACGGTGCCATCAGGCTGCTGATGCACTCGCCTCACAGGTACAAATTGACCTGCTGGCGGCATCATACCCGCCACGCAGGGCTTTCTGCCTAGATAAGAGTTTACTGTTATGGGCTGTCAAGAGGAGCCAGGGGCCAGAGTGATAGTATGATGGGTAGGGCACTTGCCTTGATTCGATCCCACATTTCACATGGTTCCCCAAGCCCACCAGGAGCAATCCTTGAGTACAGAGTCAGGAGTATATCTTGAGCACCTTTGGGTGTAGTCCTCAAACAAAACAAACAGAATTATGAGCCTGAAACTTCTGGTGCTCACCTGCATGTCCCTATCACACCTCTGTGTGCCTGTTGCAGCTTCTCTCTGAGGGGATCAGTTCTTCTAGTGTCCACAAAGTGGATCCAGTAAGAATGCTTTTGGCTGCTTTAGGGCTAGTGACAGAATCATTTCTTCAAATCCCATCTTGGTTTTATTACATCCAAGGAACTCATTGGTAAGGTGCTCCACAACCCCCAGCTCCTATTTATCACCTACCTGCTTTGGATTATTTAAAAGTTCAAAAACCCCATTCGCCCTCTCCTCTCTGGAAAGAAAGATGGCGGCCGCATGGGAGCCTTGTGGAGAGCAGGTATGAGCCGGGGTGGGGGCGCGACTGAAACCTCATGGGAGGGCGGGGGGGGGGGGGGGCGTTCCGGCCCGTCCTTCACGCCCTACCGAAGTCACCAGTTGCCCCCCACGAGCGGCTCTCCGGCACGGCTACGGCCCCAGAAGCACAGAAACCAATTTCTTAATTATCTGACCCTCAGTAGAAATACTTCCAGGGTAAATAAATAAAATAGCAGAAATCCAAAACCACGCGGCCGCTATTGCGGCCGCACAACATCTTTTAATTCTTGAACCCAGCTGTAGAAAGCAAATCATTCCACAGTGCTTTTTCAGCATGGCTGATTTGGGGGGGGGGGTAAAGTCTAAATAATAATGGTGCAACTTTTATTGAAACAATGAAGCTAGTCAAAGTAGATAGAGTGTTAACTAGAATTCATCTGCCCCACAGGCATTGGGGGGTGGTGGTGGGGGGGGGTTTATTGGGTTTCTTCGTGGTGAAAAATAAGTATTGGTAAAGGGAAATGTGATTGATATTTGCATGACTGAGACCTAAACCTGAAAGCTTTGTAACTTTTCCCACAGCGATTCAATAAATAAATAAATTAAAAAAAAAAAGTTCAAAAACCTTGAAAATGTAGAGCTTGGGTCAGAGTGATAATATAGAGGGTAGGACACTTGCATTGCACACGGCTAATGTAGGTTCAATCCCTGACATCCCACCTGGTCCCCTGAGCCTGCCAGGAATGATTCCTGAGTGCAGAGCCAAGAGTAACCCCTGAGCAGCATCATGTATGCCTCCCCCGAAACAAACAGGCAAACAAACAAAACAAAAAAATGTATAGGGCACCTGTACATTATGTGCCAGGTAGAGTTGTAGGCATGGGATACAACAATGAATACGGTGACCATAGTTCCTGCCCCCTCAGAGCTGATGCATGACGCCTACTGCCTCCCCACAACTCTGTTTAGAAGATAGTACTGGTGTTCAGGCACTTGTGTTTCATGTGGCTGGCCCTAGTTCAATCCCCGCACATGGTTCCCCAACCACCAGGAGTGATCCCTGGGCATCGAGCCAGGAGTACACTCTGAGTACCACCAGATGTGTCCCAAAACCAAAAAGAAAAGAAACAATTAAATATGCCACTATAATTTGACAATATCTTTTGCTAATGAGAAAATCCACATTGGACATAATAAGCCCATCCCCAGGGAGGGAGGCTCCTAGAGAGAGCAAAGTGTCTAAGCCAAAGGATGGGTAGAGTTTGGCCTCAAGTCAGGGAAGGAACAAAACCGAGAGAGGGAGCAGCCACGCAAAAGCTCAGAGAGAGGGAGGGGCGGTGAGGATGAGCCGGGCTGGGGAATGTGGAGGTGAGAACCGAGGAAGATTGGGGTCTGCTGTGGAGTTTCCTGCTCCATACCCCAGGCTGTGTGCAGAAGGCTGAAGGGAAAGGGTGGCAGTGAGTGCACCTGAACTTGTGAAACTCCCTTGAACAATAATTTGGAGGACAGGTAGGAGGGGCGAGGGGCAGTGATGGTGGATGATTTTAGCAGGGAACAAAAAGAAATGGATGGAAGATGGATGGATGGATGGATGGATGGATGGATGGATGGATGATGGATGGATGGATGGATGGATGATGGATGGATGGATGGATGGATGGATGGATGATGGATGGATGGATGGATGAATGGATTCCAGTGGAGTTGACTAGATTTGGTAATGGCTGTCTGGATGGAGGAAGACAAGGGTGAGGGTTGTCTTCTGGGGTTCTGGCCTGGGAAGTAAATGTTGAGCACAGATGGGGAAGGGGTTGGTGTGGAAGGGGAGAGGAGGGTGGGAAATCAGCCTTGAGACTGTGTATCAGTCAACTAGCAGTTAGGCCTGTGGTGTCTGGAGTTCAGGAGAAAGACCTAGAGAAGCAATTTCTGCCCCTGGGTCCCATGACCTCATCTTTCTAAAGAGAAAACTTTGGGACTTCCACCTCTCAAGTGTCAGCTGTGCCTCAGCCACAGAACACTGGTGTCATTGATCGCGCTGGTGGCCAAGAGTGGGAGCCTCTCTTGGAGAGTGACACCTCTTAGGGGACAGGGCTCCTCACCATCTCCTGCCTTGGTCCCCAGTTGCACCCTGCACAGAGTGCGGCTCTAGCTCTGTCCCTGCCCAAGGCTAGACCTCTTCAGTTTGTAGTAGTTATTGGGGGGGGGGAGGCAGGGGTGGTGGGTAGAGTGTGGTGCTCTGGGGGTGCTGGAGACAAACCTGGGACTTCCCCATGCAAAGCCTGTGCCCCAGACCCTCAGGCTATCATCCCAGTCTGCTGAGCCCCAAGGCAGAGTGGGGGTCCCTGTTCCCAGCGCCCTGAGGGGCTTGTCCGTGACACCTGCCTCAGGCGAGTCAGTGACGGCCCCTCTCCTGCACCTCTGCAGCCCAAGCCACAGAATGCGGTCACCATTGCCGTGTCCTCCCGGGCTCTGTTCCGCATGGACGAGGAGCAGCGTATCTACACGGAGCAGGGCGTGGAGGAGTATGTGCGCTACCAGCTGGACCACGAGAATGAGCCCTTCACCCCAGGCCCCGCCTTCCCCTTCGTGAAGGTGAGGCCACTTTCGCCAGCCTTGTCTTCATGGGGGTGAGAAAGAAGCAACCCAGTGGGAATTGGAGGGCAAAAAGGGCCCCCCTCTGGGCTAGTGTTTCCTCCTGTTCCTCGTTCCTGCAAGGATCATGGCTTGGCCCGGGGCATTGGCCACACAGGGAGGAAAAGGCTGCCCCATCTTCGGAGGGGTACACCATTACCCAGGAACCAGGGAGGGAATGGAGCCTGGGTGGGCTCCAGCCCCTACTCACCCTTGTAGAGAGACCCCTTGAGCAGGCACAGGACAGAGAATGGCCCTGGGAGAGGGATCCGCACCCTGATCTCACCTCCCCTCTGCTCTCCCCTGGCTCCCGGCTCACGCCCTGTCCCCAAACCTGGTGCCCTCCTCCAGGAATCAGAGCCGGGGGTCTGAGCTGGAGGCTCCCCTTTCCCATCCAGGCTCTGGAGGCTGTGAACAGACGGCTGCGGGAGCTGTACCCCGATAGTGAGGACATCTTCGACATTGTCCTCATGACCAACAACCACGCCCAAGTGGGTGTCCGTCTCATCAACAGCATCAACCACTATGGTGAGCTCGAGGGGCTGGCTGGGGGCTGCTCCTGCCAGGACAGCCCCTGCCAGGCCTGGGGTTGTATCTCTACAAAGCAAGGTGCAAGACGAGAGCCCCACGACCAGCATCGTGTGGGTCAACTGGCTGCTTCAACACAACAAATGACCCCAAAAGTCCTGTTTGTATCAGTGCCACTTTCTGGGTGTTAATATTCCTGCCACGGCTGCTCGGCAGTCTAACTGGCTCACGGCATCCCTGGGTGTTTGACATTCAGCTTTTCCAGGCCAGAATGAGCCGGCTCCAGCACACCCTGTGCAGGCCTTATTTCCTAGCGATCGGACAAGGCACTTGCTGCCTCCATGCCTCAGTTTCTCTCCTTGCACAGGGCCCAGTAGCCTCACATGACTGCTGGGAGAAGTGAATGCTGTAGTCAGAGCAAGGAGTCTGAGCATCTGTCCAAACTTTTGGCGCAACTTAATAATGTCCAGGGCAAGATTAAATTGAGACTATTTCCTGTTCTGTTCCAAGGGTTGCCTCTGAGCACCATATGGCAGGAAGTGGGCCGGGAGGTAGTACAGCAGGTAAGGTGCTTGCCTTATGTATTGATCCCCGGCACCACATATGATCCCCTGAGCCTGCCAGGAATGGTCCCAGAGCGTAGAGAGTCAGGAGCTAGCCCTGAACACCAGGGTGTGGCCCAAGAAACAACAAAACCACAGGACAGGGAGCAAAATTGGGCTGACACAGGCCTCAGCCCAAGCACTGGGCGTCTTCCCAGGGGTCTTATTCTCAGCTGTGCTACGTGACTCTGATTTCTGTTGCTCAAAGTCTACTCCTACCCCCCTCTCTAGGTTTCTCGGCTCTTCCTGATTATGGCTCAAATGTTTACATTTTCAAGTGCCTTTTCTGAGAAACCAACTGAGCCCCTTTGACTTTTTGTTTCTTGTGGGGGCCATTTCCTATTGAGCTCTGTGTGTGTGTGTGTGTGTGTGTGTGTGTGTGTGTGTGTGTTGATGGGCAGGGGGTTGTGGTGGAGGGGACTCATGTGGCACCCAGGCAGTGAACCTAGGGCCTCACATGTGCCACTTGAGCCACGTCCCCAGTCCCAGTGGCATTTTTAAATCTGGATTTCATTTTGCTGGGGGCAGGGGTACTATTCAAACTATGTAAGCTGCTTGGGCCGTAGGACGGGCATTGCCTTAAGTCCTCCTCTTACTCCTTTCTCCCTCTTCCCAGACCTGTTCATCGAGAGGTTCTGCATGACCGGTGGGAACAGCCCCATCTGCTACCTCAAGGCTTATCACACCAACCTCTACCTGTCCGCTGACTCCGACAAAGTGCGGGAAGCCATTGATGAAGGTGAGTTGAACGGGGAGGATAAAGGGGAGCCTGGCAAAGGGGTCCCAGAGGTGGAAGGCCTGGCCCTGGCCCTGAGCAGACCCCGCGGATTGCAGCCACATTTCTATCACCTGTCCCACAAACTCCGAGGACAAGGCCCCACTAATCCACTCTGTTCATTGGTCTCACCATCCGCCCAGCCTCATTAGGGATGTTTACCCTGCACTGTTCTCCAGCCTTGTGTTTCCATGGAAATCCTTCTTCTAGCCCAGAGAATCCCTTCTAAAATGCCTCCAGGTCAGTGGCCCCTCTAGTTCCGAGCAGGCCGGGACACGATGGCCAGTTTCTGCAGCTAGACAGGACAGTTCCTCAGTGAAGGAGCCCCAGCTGCAAATATTGACAAAGAAAGTTGCCTATTACATATCACTCTGCAGGGGGAGTGGATCATGCCCAGTCTTGGCCCTCTCACAGGGGCTGGATCCTGGCTGCATGTGGACGAAAACAGACCACAGAGGAGACAGGGTTGATCACTGTGGCAGGAGTCTTCCTCATACACCAGTTGATCCGTTTTCTCTCCCTCTTTCATGCCTGAAGCCCAGCCGCTCTCCCACAATGCCTCCCTCCGAGGAGCTGCTGTGGGGCTCCATGAGACTTTCTTCATTATTTTAATAGGTCACAGTCACAGTCCTCCCGTTGTTCATCAATTTGCTCGAGCGGGCCCAGTAACGTCTCCATCATGAGACTTGTTGTTACTGTGTTTGGCATATTGAATACATCACGGGGAGCTTGCCAGGCTCTGCGGTGCGGGCGAGATACTCTCGGTAGCTTGCCGGACTCTCTGAGAGGGGCAGAGGAATCGAACTCGGGTCGGCCATGTTGGCTGCATGCAAGGCAAATGCCCTACCCGCTGTGCTATCATTATTTTAATATGAAATTAAATTTGGAGTGGGGGTTGGGGGATCTGGGGCCACACCTGGAAGTGCTCAGGGACTGTTCCCGGCTCTGGGTTCAGGGGTCATTTCTGGAGGTATTCGGGGAACCATATGTGGTGCTAGGGATCGAATCTTGTAACAAGTGCCTTCACCTCTGAACTTCCCAGGGAGAGTTGTAGCCTGGGCATGTGCTGGTTTTTAAGTTCCTGCTCCTGGGAGGAAGGAAGGGCCAGTGAAAGCTGGACTGGCAGCTTCCTGGGGCCTCTCTGAGGCTCCTGAACTGAGAAGTCATTGCTTCATCCCCACAGAGTCTGCCCTCCTGCCAGTGAAGTTATATATCCCGGACATCAGCTCAGGCTGGGAGCAGGGGTGGGTCCACCAAGAGGCCCAACTGGGTGGGGGTCATCTTGGCTCTGTGCTTCAGAGCTGACGAAGTGTCTGGCCAAAGCGTGAGCCCCCTGTGGTACCCTCAGCCCTGCTCCTTAGACCCAGGTGCTGCTGAAGCCTGACCCTAACTCCCCAGGATCCGGGCCAACATGCCCTGTGGGGCAGGAGTACAGGGAGGGAGGAAACCACGGCCCACAACCCCCCAGAGCCCCAGCTGGGATCTCAGCTATCCAGGGCAGCTCTGAGCTCAGGGCCTGGATTCCTGGTGAGAGTCTTTTTATCTCTCCTTAATGTATTGAACCACATTGAGATATAAAGTTGCAAAGTTTGGGGGGCTGGAGAGATAGTATATTGGATAGGGCACTTGCCTTGCACACCACTGAGCAGGGTTCAATTCCCAGCATCCCATATGGTCCCTGGAGCCTGACAGGAGTGATCCCCAAAATGCAGATAAAGGAGTAAGCCCTGAGCACCTCCAGGAATGCCCCCCCAAAAAAGTTACACAGTAGCTCAAGACTGAGTTTCAGTTGTGCAGTGTTTGAGCACCCATTCCTTCCGGCAGGAGTCCTTGCCCACCCTCCCCCCACTCCCCTGGAGATACCCAGGCTGCAGGTCTCTGGGCACGATTTGACATGGCCTGTGGCCTCCTACAGTTACTGGCTCCCTCAATGACCCAAGCTGCCTGGAGCAGTTCCTGGGGGTCTAGATGAGAGTGACGGGTATCACCCACACCCCAGACTGCCGCCTCACAGTCCCACAAAGACCTGCAACACTACTGGGGAGGCTTCAGGTGTACTTGGGACTTACTCCTGGCTCGGCGCTCAGGGATCACTCCTGGTGGGGCTCGGGGAGCTCTATGGGGTGCTGGGGATGGAGCCAACGTCAGCCGCATGCAAGGCAAGCACCCTTGCACAGTACTGTCACTCTGGCTACACCCAAAACATCCTAACTGACCCTGGCCTAGAGGGGAGGGACTTGCAGTCAGTCTCCTGCCCGGGGCCTGTGAGCCGGGAGCTCCTCTCTTCCGGTGTCCAGCAGGTCCTCACACGAGTCCTGGAGCTGCTGGGACCCACTCCTGTTCCTGCTGATTGCAGGGCTCTGGCCCTTATCCTCTGGGGGCCCCTAGCTCCAGGACCCCGCCTCACAATGTAGCAGCTAACAAGGGAACCCTGGGACTGGAGTGATAGTACAGCAGCTAAGACGTTTGCCTTGCACGTAGCCCAACCTAGGTTTAATTCCCAGGACCCCATAAGGTCGCCCAAGTCTGCCAGGAGTGATCCCTGATTGCAGAGCCAGGATCAAGCCCTGAGCTCTATCAGATGTGGCTCAAAACAAAACAAAATAGGTAAATGAAAGGGGAAAGCTGGCATTGGTCAGACCCTTGAAGCCCCACACAGAGCAAAGCCCCAGTTCTCTCCTACCCAGAACTGAGGTGCCCAAAACATTGTCCCTCACCAGCCTAGCCCTGACGCTGGCTGAGACTGTGTGGAGGGGAAGAGCCCCTGCCCCCATAGTCCTCTCCTCTCCAAGCCGGGGGCTTCTGTGGCCTGCGTGAGCACAGACACCCCTCCGCCCTCCTCTCTCTGCCCAGGGATTGCGGCCGCCACCATCTTCAGCCCCAGCAGAGACGTGACTGTGTCCCAGAACCAGCTGCGCGTGGCCTTTGATGGCGATGCCGTGCTCTTCTCCGACGAGTCCGAGCGCATCGTCAAAGCTCACGGGCTGGACCGCTTCTTTGAACACGAGAAGGCACATGAGAACAAACCTTTGGCCCAGGTGCTCTGAACACACCCCGGGGCCCCTGGACGGAGATGGTGGGTGGTGGTTACCCAGAACCTGCACTGGGCTTCAGTGCTCAGCCTAGAACCCAACCTGAGCCATGGCAGGAGTTGCCTTTGCTTCCTGCCAGCTGCAGAGCGACTCATTCTCCTACCCTCCTCATTACGCGCCTTTGCTCTGGGCCCTGTAGACACTGTCCCTGGCCTTAGTAAGTAGGACAGGAGCCCTGGCCACCCGCATGCCCACAGGGTGGGGTGATGTCGTGAAATTACACAGGCCAGTCTGCCTCCATCACAGCCACAGTCCATCCTGATCCCCGACGCATAGGCCAGTGATCAGTTCTCATCGCCTCCCTGTGTGGGCACAAACCTCCCTCCCAGAATGAGGACTGACACCCAGCTCCCTGGGGGTGCAGAGGCATAGATATACGTAGCAACAGTTGTCCTGCTCCAATACACTGACACGATCATCCTGAGTCACAGTGGAGAGCACCAGACCTGGTCCGGGTCCCTAAAGCCCCACAGATGCCCACAGGTGCCCAGGCAGGTACAGCAGAATGGAAAGATCCAGGAATCCTGAGCCATTCGCTCACCAAACAGCAGGGGGCAGATGCCGTGAGCTGGCACATAGGCAAGCACTGTGGGTGGATGCAGTGGGCTGGCACTGTGGGTAGATGCTGCAGGCTGGCACTGTGGGCAGGTCCCATGGGCTGGCACCGTGGCAGGCTTCTGACTGGAGCAGGGACACATGCTGGGGAGTCACTGGAGCTCACAGTGTTCTCTTTCCTTCTTTCAGGGCCCCTTAAAGGGCTTTCTGGAGGCTCTGGGGCGGCTGCAGAAAAAGTTCTACTCCAAGGGTCTGCGGCTGGAGTGTCCGATCCGCACATACTTGGTGACGGCACGCAGCGCCGCCAGCTCCGGGGCCCGGGCTCTCAAGACCCTGCGGAGCTGGGGGCTGGAGACGGATGAGGCGCTGTTCCTCGCCGGCGCGCCCAAGGGCCCCCTCCTGGAGAAGATTCGCCCACACATCTTCTTCGATGACCAGATGTTCCACGTGGCTGGGGCCCAGGAGATGGGCACTGTGGCTGCCCATGTGCCTTACGGCGTGGCCCAGGCGCCCCGGCGGACTGTGCCCACGAAGCCGGCCCCACCTGCACAGTAGCTGAGCCCAGGCTTTCTCGATGCCCCCTGGCACCGGATCCTCCTGGTTCCGTGTTGCCCTTCCCTCTGCATGTCTTCTGTCATCCCCGAGGAGCGGGGTGGGAGATAGCGCAGACCAGCTCAGCCTTCTCACCTGCCCCTTCCCGTCTGAGGGCACACACAGTGGCACAATCTTGCCAGGAAAGTAAGACGTCAGTGTAGCTGGATTTGGGGGAGAGGTAGAAAGAATGAGGGGAGGAAAATGGAGATGAAGTGGGGAGTTTTAAAGGCCAGTGTGGAACACAAGCTCAGTCTCCAAGAACACTGCCTTGAGGAAAGAGCCTTCTCGGCTGGCCTGGCATTAATTACACCCAAGAGGAAGTCCCTCTCCTTCAGAGCCATTTCTGTCTCTTAGGTGGCTCTCAAACTCTCCTTTCGCCAGGATGCTGAGTTTTATAAGATCACCCTCTTTAGTTTGGGGGGTGTGTGTGTGTGTGTTTTGCTTCTGTCTGGGGCCTTCCAGGTGGTGCTGCTGAGCAGTGCTTGGTCAAGTGGGCCAGTAGTTCAGGGCATGGTGCTGCATGGACTCTGTGGTGCCAGGGCCACCGAGGCCACTCCAGCAGCGCTTGGGGGCTTCCGGGCTACAGCCAGTGGTGCCCGGAAGGTCGTGTGATGCTGAAGATTAAACCCAGTTCTGGCGCATACATAGCATGAGTCCTGACTGCTATCTGATCCCTCCGAGCCCAGATTACCTTCTTTGAAGGAAGCGTTCTAGAGCCACCAGGGCTGCTGCTGGTGTGCACGGCACCATCATGCCAATGACAAAGGATGCTGTCTGTAGGGGAGTGGGTGAGGGAGCAAGCCACCCTTCCTTGGGAGCACCCAGGGCCCTGTGGGGTGCACAGTTCGAACAGTTGGGTATAGGCAGTGTACAACCATCCACAGCTGCTATAGTTTCACATCCGTGGAAACCCCTGGATAAGATTGCCTCACTGCTACCTGGGAGTTTGGAATCTTTATCCTCAGCGTTTAGCTGCAATCCTACCTTTAGCCAGCTGGGGGCACTGCAGGCACTTCCCAGGGAGGCACGCTTTTTCTTCTGCCGCCAACTCCTCCACCTTCACTCTGTCCTTTCTATTTTACTATGTTCCTTCATCTAGGGGGAAAGGGGCAGAGGGTGGTGTGCACTGTGTGGGACTAATGCAGGGGAGAAAGCGCAGAGGCAAATGTGAGGGGTGTGCAGGAGTGGGAGAGGGCTGTGGGGCAGACCAGACAGAGAGCACAGAGCTGCCATCCCACTCACAAGCTTCTCCCGTCATGAGCCGGGGCAAGGGAGTCACGAGTTCTAATCCCCAAGGTCCCATGTCAGGGACCCCCTGAAGTGCCTTAAGATACACCTGTGCGGGTTGCCTTCTGCTCCCTTGCAGAGAGCTCACACAGCCGGCAGAGTCTGCCTTCTCCTTCCATGCCCGGCTGTGGCCCTCTGCAGAATAAGGGCAGGCAGGAGTGTCCAGAGCCCAGGAAGGTGAACAGATGCCATATTGGGAAGCAGTGACCGCAGCGGCCTGGATGTGGGGTAGGGAAGGAGGAAAAAAGGCCATCTGGGACCTGACCTTGGACGTGAGGACTCAGCAATGATAGGCATGACAGGTCTGGCAGTGTCCTGCAGGATGGTAGATGCGGATGATCCAGGGTGGAGGAGAGGAGAGAAGACCAAGGAGGTGGTTCTCCAGGTGAGCAGTGTTTGGGGCAGAAGCAAAGTGCTGGACTGGACTTTTGTTGTTAAGATCCAGGGCCTCTGGGGCTGGAGCGATAGCACAGCAGGTAGGGCGTTTGCCTTGCACGCAGCCAACATGACCGACACAGGTTCGATTCCCAGCACCCCATATGGTCCCCTGAGCACCGCCAGGAGCAATTCCTGAGTGCATGAGCCAGGAGTAACCCCTAAGCATCACCAGGTGTGACCCAAAAAGAAAAAAAAAAATCCAGGGCCTCTGAGAGTCCATTCCTGGGGCCGGGGCAGATGAGTACCTGGGGGAACACTGTCAGGAAGTTTCTCTGCATAAAGTCACATACATGCACCGTCAGGATCCCTGGGCCACCAGGCAGCACAGGGCTGATGTTGAGCCCCTTGCCTGTGCCCCCAGCCCAGTTGCGAGGGGGATGCTACAGGACTTAAGAACAGAGGGCCGGAGAGAGAGAACAGGAGAAAGGTACTTGCCTCGTACGTACCCTGATTTAGTCCTCAGCAGGGCATCACCAGGGCTCACTACTGACACTAAGCCAGGAATCGTCCCTGAGCACTGCTGAATGTGACCCCAGTTTCTTTCTTTTTACCTCCCCACAAATGAACCACCCCAAGGAAACAAAAAGGAAGTAAATGAGAAGCAGCCTTAGCCCGAGTCACCTTTGATCTTGGCTGAAAATAGAAGACAGCTGCTCAGCACCTGCACCCTCCACCCCAGTCTGGGTCAAAATCACCACCTTTGTTTTGTGTTTTTTTTTTTGGGGGGGGGGGAGTGCTAAGAGGGAATACCCAGCAGCACTCAGGGTTTACTCCTGGCTCTGTTCTCAGGGATCACTTCTGGCAGGCTTGGGGGACCAGGGATCAAACTCGTGTTGACCGTGTGCAAGAAAAGCCCTGTACCCACTGTACTATTACTCTGGCCCTCAAAATCACCTCCTGGAATAAGCCAGCAGGTGACCAGGCACAGAAAGACTAAGAGAAGGACATTAGACTGTGACCAGAATGAACACCTTCCCTGGGTGGGCAGTGCCAGATGTCACCGAATTTAGATCAACTCCAGGACGCCTATCCTCACCCCTAGGCCTAGCAACAGCCACCGCTTCCTTCCAGGTCTGCCCTCTGGAAGCAGGAAAATGAGACGCTAGAAGCAGAAAGCTGAAGTGGAGGTGCAGTTAAGCTGCGGGTTTCCAGGGAGCTGCCTGTAATAAGCTTGACAGCCCAGGGCAACGAGAGACACTGAAGTCCAAATTCAATTATTGAAACCATTAAGGAGCAGCTCAGGTCTGGAAAAAAGCTGGAATGAAAGGCCAGGAGTCCTGGGGGCAGACAGCACCGTCTGAAAGCGTGAGTGAGGAGCAGGGCCTGGAAGGGGAGCGCCAATTATTGTCTCACCAGCGGCTTAGAAGGCGGCTGTGTGCACGCCAGCCCAAGGCCTCGCACAAACGCTGCGGTGCGGGGCCCGAGGAGCTGCAGCTCCATGCTGGGCCCCTGGAGCCAAAGTGTTTCTCCCCCTTGCAGTACACATCAGAAGAAATCAAAATCAATAGGAAGTCCAAACCCTATCTGGATCTAGCATGCTAAGACCACGCCGCTGGTGTGCACCTGCTCGACCCAACTGAAGATGGAAACACTGAAATGCTGAAATCCGTCCTATTAGTTTCTAGAACTCCGTAGGGACCCCTCCACGGTCTTAGATACTCTGGACTCCCCCACTACCCTCGAGCCGGCAAAAGGTGCCTCAAGGGATCCTTTCACCTGGTTGGTGATATCTCAACCAGTTGGGGTAAGATAACCGGCTTGAAGACTCAGAACAGTTAATGGCAGGGCTGCAGCTGTGTCTGCCTCTTGCCAGACCCAGCTCTTCTCCCTGTGGACGTGGGGCCAGCATGAAGATGGCGAGAGAAGTTCTGCTCGTGAGTTCACTGGCGAGGCAGCTCAGTGGGCCATCCTGGAGCTCAGACGCTGTAACACAGGGAGCAACACATTCCTATTCAAGCCTTTCAAAGAACTAAGGAAGAGTAAGGGTCAGGGAGACTCAACGCGCTGAGCACATGCCTCTTTGCACGGAAGAGGCCCGGCTTTGATCTCCCTCACCACTACATGTGGGGGTTACCCTCCCAAGAGTGACCCCTGAGCACAGAGCTAGGAATAACCCCCAACCACAGCTCAGCGTGTCCCCCAAACACCCCCCCAAAAAAAAGAACTAAGAAGGATTTGAGTCAAGCATTTTCAACCCCTCCTGAAATACCTCCAAACACCCCCAAGTCCTCTGGAACCCAGATTGAAGGCCCCTATATTGATTGAGCCAATGCCTATTTGGCTTCTATATTGTTTGGGGCTTCTTTGGTACGGCCCAAGGAGAAGTGGATTGTTTCAACAGAGACTGCAGCTGCTAACACTGCTCTGGCTCTTTTTTTTTTTTTTTTTTTGGCTTTTTGGGTCACACCTGGCGATGCACAGGGGTTGCTCCTGGCTCTGAACTCAGGAATTACTCCTGGTGGTGCTCAGGGGACCATATGGGATGCTGGGAATCGAACCCGGGTTGCCGTGTGCAAGGCAAACGCCCTACCTGCTGTGCTATCACTCCAGCCCCACTGCTCTGGCTCTTGACAGAGCACCTGCCAACCTCTGGACGAAGGCAAACTTCCCGGCCCACTCCCCCGATGGAGAGAGACCCACTCATGCTCCTGACCCCCAGAGGCCAGCCTGCTCCATTCCAGCCGGGAGGGGGAGCGGGGTCGAGGGGCAAGCAGACAGGGACTCCATCGGCAACCTGCAGAGCACGGAGGCACTGGCTGAGCAAACAGTTGCTCCAGGCATTGGAGAACTTCAGATGTCAAGTTTTGATTATTTCCCAGTGACCCTTGGCCTGTTCTTATTTGCAGGGCCCTTGACACTCACATTTGACTTGCATGTTCCCTCCCAAGCCGATGGAGGAGGGCAGAGAGCAGGGTTCCTGGTGGCAGGGGGGGGCTGCACCCGCTGGCTGGCTGCCACCTGCTTCGTGTGCTGTCATTACTAATTCATCGAGGGCCTCGTGGGGCCTCTTGGGAAGTGACAAGTGTCTGTAGATGGATGGGCCTTAGCTAAATATTAGTCTTGGATAAAGTGAAGTGCCTCGTGTTGACTTAAGGGCTCTGCTCTGCTCTAACGGGTCAGCCGGATGCTCTCTGTGGAAGCAGGAACCAGGTCTTCCCAAAAGGAGTCGCAGTCAGGGCATTTGCTGCCTCCAAAGTTATTGCCCAAGAGAGGAAGGAAAGGTGGACTGGCCACTTCCTGGGTAACCTAGAGCAAACCCTCAAACCCGCATGGTGAATGGTGAACCGGGAGAGATCTGCAGATGGAGAGATTCCCCGAGGCCCCAGGAACCACTGCGAGAACAGCACGGAGAGAGGCTGGGGAGAGACTGCAAAGGCGAGTGTGTGCATGCTTTGCATGCTAGAGTCCCCGTTCCAGCCCTGGGCATTGCAAGATCCCCTGGGGGCAAGCTCTGAGCATCGCAGGTGCTTCACCCCCCAACTCTACCCAACACACACACAAAGAAGAGCACGGATGGACGAAACTGTTGTAGTGTCACTGCTCCAGCACAATCCTCTTCTCTGCCAAGCCCAGACGTGGCTTCAGAGCCGTCTCAAGCCGGTCTTGTAGGCAGCCACTACCGGGGAATGGGGCGGAGTTGGCAGGAAAGACGAAACCCTCCTGGTGTCCAGTACTACTTTCCAGGGGTCACCAGAGGCCCTGGTGCTCCTGCTTTTAAGCTGTGGGCTATCCCTGAGCATGCAGGGGGGTCTTCTCAGGGGGCAGAACATAAGCGGGAGAAGGCCATTGTTCGGTGGGTCAGTTCCCTCAGGAGAGGCAGATACCTGGGTTTCAAGCATTGAAGCAAAGCACAAGTCCCCTTCTGCCAGTAGGTGGCACTGCAGACCAGATGCTTTGTGGGGTTACTGATTT